AAGAAGACTGTGACTGTGTTGCTCCTCTTCATTGGAGGGATGAACACAAGAACAGCGAGATACTGTAGGACGAGGACGCTGAGCCAGTGAGGCATGGCACTGTACTGACTGGCCCTGAACTGGAAGTTAGTGATCAACACCGTCTCCAACAGACTGGCCACCATCAAGATGAGACTGATGCAGAAGAAAACATCTGCAGGACACAACAAACGTCAGTTCAGTCAACTTTTCAATAACATCGTATCTTAGCCATGATCTTGTGTTGGAAATGATGTTAACAATAAAACTTGAGGAACCTGTTGTTCACAATTACCTAAACAAATTAATCATTGTCCTGTTGACCAAATAATCGACACACTTTTTCATTGCAACTAATAAGAAACTGTCCCTTTCCAGCATCACAGGGTCGGTCACTCACTGATGAGAGGCGTCTCCCTGGTGATGGTCAGCAGGTCGTTCATGATGAGCAAGAAGACGGTGTAGCCGGCGGATGAGGGCCATCTTGAAGGAGGAGCGGTTTGGGGCCCAATAATACTTAAGATTAGCCTCATGAAACATCTCACTGTGTGGTTGTTCAGGTATATGAGGGGCTGGTCTGAGTGTTGGTGGAGAAACAACACATTACTCTTTTTATTCCTATCACCGACTGTACAATAAATGACACAATAATACTTAAGATTAGCCTTATGAAACATCTTACTGTGTGGTTGTTCAGGTATATGAGGGGCAGAGGAGGTCTCAGGATGTAGATTCCTGATAAGATCAATGGTTCAATTACAACCAGTATACTATTTACTTCCTCTATTTACTTTGTACGGAGCCCCTAAAGGGACATGGGAGAAAAAAAAAAAAAGAAACGTATCTCGTGCGCACAAGAAAGTATGTCGCGAGCACGAGAAAGTATCACGTGTGCACGAGAAAGTATCTTGCGAGCATGTGAAAGTATCTGGTGCGCACGAGATAGTTTTCTGGTGCGCACGAAAAAGTATCTCGTTAAGCACATGTAGTTGACCGTACGCCTGTGCTCATTAAGATCATTAGCATCAAAGAATGGCTGCAGAAGTGGACTTATTCTCTTTTCTGAAAACGCGAAATATACCTGATAGTGTCATCAAACAACTACAAGATGATAAGGTAAAGATAAATGTTAACTTTAGTGACATAAAGTAAGCAATACACGGCTAGCCTAATGAGCTTTCTCTACCTGCTATGTTAATGTAATTTGTAACGTTTTTGACTTGTGCCTTACAGATCGACATTAACGTCATATGTGTTATGACAGATGAGGAGTTAGGACAGTATATTGGACGATATGGGGACAGACTAGCACTCAGAGCATTTTGTCGTCAAAGAACTGTGACAAACGAAAAGCCAGAAGGAATGGAGACAGTGAAGTCCGCTCTAATGCAGAGAGTAAGAGACAGGCTCGGGGAACAACGGAAAACTCCAGCCAACGGAGACACAGCAGGCCCTGGTATTGTTGGCAATAAACATGCAGTCAAAACCACTCGGCGGGTTGAAATGGGATGGCTCCACTTTGATAACGGCACTTATCACCAGATCAAAACAAAAAATGGAGGTGGAACATGGCACCTGTCAGTCCAGAAATCAGTAACTATGGGTGAACTGCTGGAGACGGGCAAGAGCTTGTTTTTTCCAAATGGATTTTCATCCAAAGGCCCAGTGGAAGACTTCGAGTTTGATATTCGTAATTACAGTCACAATGAAGTGTCCCCTGAAGTCACAGTGAGCCAGCTGTACGAGCAGACTAAGCTGCGAATGCTGCGTATCTACACAACCACCAAGGCTAAAGATGTAATACTTCTCTCTGATGCATCGTCGGACTTYGAGCCCACAGATGAGAGGCCAATGAAGGTAATTTATCTTCTGCCACATTTATGTTATCAATATACTGTAAAATCCATACATTCAGTGACACCTGAGCAATATTGTATGATTCAGACATTAATCTAACATTTATCAAACTTTCCTGAGTCACATTAATAGCTGTATTTACGAAGGAAAATGTCAGTAGATTATGTTATAGATGTAGAATACTATAATAGTACAAATACATGATAGTTGGTTTGTGCACACTTCTGCTAATTAAAGACATGCAATGTAGGGCATTTGTGCTCTTTTCAATGTTCATTATAGACCAATCTGTGTTCGATTGATTTGACAGATTTTGGGTGCAAGTGCTGCACAGTTCTGGTGCAGTTAGCAGGCGCAGTTCGTTCTTTGTGGATTTGGCCAAAATAATCTTAGTCTTACAGCCATGGTGTTTATCTGTCTTTCTTCTCATGAAATTCAACAAYGAGAATCAGTGATTTCTGAGGATAAATCTATTGTCTTAACTCAATGTGAAATATATTAGGAACATGAGGCCTGCAAAATAAATATTATTTATTTAGGGGTGAAAGTTGAGTTGCAAGAGCTCAAGAGATGTAAATCCAATTTTCTAAACATTTGCTCCACTTCTGTCTCCACTTATGTGCATGTTCAATCACGATAAGTTCAGAAAGACTTGCTTTGAACAGCTGGACAATCATGGCTGTATATGCCTATAATTTCCTGATCTGCTGATTTCTTTATAGACTAGGACAATGCACAGACGATCAWTGAGGAACAAAACCAGGAGACGTCGTCACTGCAGGACTGGAACTGATCATCGAGTGGATCATCCTGAGAGCTCCACTGATTCAGATCCAGCACCCAGTGGCTCAATGCAGGAAAGCCATGAAAAAGTAAGCCCCAGTATTTCATTTTATGGACCCAGTTTGTGAAATACAGTATGGAACTTGTGTTGTAATGAGATTCATTTGTGCCAAAATGGTCAAACAATACTTTTTAAAATTTAAACAAAAAATGATAAATCAAAATATCAAATATGAAATTGAAACAAAAAAAACAACAAATGTTCAACAAATGTAAACCATCGCAAATTTTAAATGCAGCTAAGATGATGGAAGTGAGCAAAAGAGTTGGAGTTCAATGTCACATTAACTCAGTAYGCATATACCAAAACAATCTGCTCAGGTGCAAGATTTTTTAATGACATGAATGTGATAATACACAGGACCGCTTTGATCAGATGATGCAAAAACAAAGGTAATAATTATATGTTTTTTTCATTCAATTATCAACAGAGAGGAGAACCAATCAATCAATCAAGACCAGCAACTCCTGAGGTGGGCAACACAGAGGTCCTGCATCCACCATCTTCAAATCAAGATGCAGACCAGTTGTTAAGTGACGATTTGGATTCCCCCCWTGCCCCTGCCATCCAAGCATCTCTTGAGGATGATGAAGTAAACTTTGGACCTGTTTCTGATGATGATGCTGATAATCAAGACTCCACCCTTCCCTGGAATCCATATGACTTCAACAGTATGCAGGTATAGTGTAGAACTAAGTAATTTCTAACAGTGGTGCAAAAAATATTACTGCCATTATTGATTATTTTAAAACGTTTTCCCTATTCATTATTCTGTCTATAAAGTGTACAAAAACAGTGACTACGTGTCATCCCAAGTTCTCTCGCACCAAGCTGGCGAAGTYGTTGATACATTTTCTGTTGACCAATTGATTAAACAATCAATAATCACACCTAATGACCTTTTTAAAAAATCTTGCAGCACTCTACACTGAATGACGGACCTGTATCATCAAGCAGTCTTCCAGCATCACCAGACCCATTTGAAAACGAACTCCTTTTTGTAAAATTAAGACGAGTAAACATAGTTGATGATGTCCTTAATATCTTCATGGAACCAAAACTACTGAATGCTAATATAAAAGAGTTTATAAATGAGAAAGCTGTGGACAGCGATGGTGTGTCAAGAGAGGTATACTCCATGTTCTGGGAACATTTCTTGGAACAGTGTGAGGGGGAAGATGAACGAGTACCCAGACTACGTCCA